CAGCATGGCAATAAAGTGACTTCAGCCCTACTGTATGTAAAATTTAAGGATCCATACAGGTATCTAGGCACTCACACCCAGGGAAGAAAATGAACCTGAGACGTGAACAAATAGCTGTGGTTCTGGCAATGGTGTCACCTCAGAAACAAAGGTCTCGGTTTTCAGAGACCAGAATCTGCTTTCATATCAGAAGCAAGTTTTACAGACATATTGACTTCTACATAAACTTGTCATAAACTTTTATGAGAACATTCTTCAAAGAGCCTCTAGAGTGATGGATGCATTATTCATACATCAAGGCTGTGTTTCCACAAAGCCAAGTAAACATCTGGAGGAAAACTTTCACCAGTTCATTCCTTTCCAGTGCCTTGTTGTTGCAGGTCAATCATATTTGCCATTAGACATAGCCTTGAAGAGGAACTGAACTACAGATGGTTAAAAATCACATTAATTACAGTGCTTTAAGGCTCAGGGGAGCAAAGGGGTTTGTCCTGTGTCCCAAGACACTCCAGGTGGAGTGTGAGCCCAGTCTGTCTGAGATCTCTGTCTGTTTCCTGCCTTCACACCAATGGCCCCAACAGTGAGTTTGTGTGACTGGTGCTGTGGTAGAGCAGGCTGTCACCTGCAGTGCCTGCATTCCACATTGGACTGCCAGTTTGAGATCTGGCTGCTTCCTGCTACTATGTCTGGGAGCTCAGCGGAGGATGGTGCAAGTACTTGGGTCCCTGTCACCCAAGTGAGTGACCAGGTGTTAGGACTCCCTCGCCATCGCTCTGACCTTGGAAAGAATCTTAAAAAGTCACATAGTCTGCAGCTTTTGAAGAATGAGTAACCGACCAGCGTTTCAATATTTATAATCCAGCCATGTTTATGATAAAAAAGAAACAAGCACAAAATAATCTAAGTGACTGGCCCTGAGCTCAGTACATGCCGGCTGGCAAATTGGTGGTTTAGTCTCAGAGAAGAAATTGATATGTACTTTCAGAGAGGAGACATGCTTAACAAGTGTTCTAGAATGTAACAGCCAGAAGGACTGGTAAGTGCCATCTGGCCTACCTCTCCTCATTTCGAAGGCACACTTCTACATGAAAAGGATCAGGAGAAGGGAAAAACCAGACCCAGATTCTCCAATTTCAGTAATTGGGTGCTTTGCTTACATTTCTGCATTTTATCTACCCTTGCTCTCAATGCTATCTCACATGCTAAAAATGTAAGCTTCACAAAGCAGAAACTGAAATGTAAACACTTGAGCCTTTTTAACAAGGATAAAGGCTCTTTGCCTAAAGAAACCAGTTTTTCACTGACATCAGCAAGCTTTAGCTGTGTTTCAATGTCTCCACCTTGTGGAAACTATCAGCACTACATCAAAATAAATTCAGTGTCTGGGAAGGTGTTTCACAAAGTCCAAGAAAAAGGGAATTCAAAGCTACTTGTGGGGCTGACATTGTGCCACTGTGGAATAAGCCTCTACCTGCAGTTGTTGGCTCAAGTCTTAGGTACTCCACTTCTGATTCAGCTCTCTGCTAATGTGTCTGGGATAAACAGTGGAGGATAGCCCAAGTACCCGGACCTCTACAATTTACGTGTAAGATCCAGGATTTCCATGTTCCTGGCTTTGGGCTGACCCAGTCCCTGGCTATTGCAGCAAATCAGGGAGTAAAACAGAGGATGAAAAATAGATCTCTCTCTCTCTCTTTTTTTAAAGATTTATTTATTTTATTGCAAAGTCAGATATACAGAGAGGAGTAGAGACAGAAAGATCTTCTGTCAGATAATTCACTCTCCAAATAACCACAATGGCCGGTACTGCACCGATCTGAAGCCAAGAGCCAGGAACCTCTTCCGGGTCTCCATTGTGGGTGCAGGGTCCCAAGGTTTTGGGCTGTCCTTAACTGCTTTCCCAGGTCACAAGTGGGGAGCTGGATGGGAAGCAGGGCTGCCGGGATCAGAACCGGCGTCCACATGGGATCCCGGCATGTTCAAGGTAAAGACTTTAGCTGCTAGACCACGGCACCAGGCCCTTTCTTTGTCTTTCTAGTTCTGCCTTTCAAATAAATAAATAAATAAATAAATAAATCTATTTAAAAACACTGCTTATGTTGATGCAAAATTTTGAAGTGTGTGCATACTTGTTTCATAATATTCATTTTCAACTACATTTTTTGAAGACTCTTTATGATCTTATTATTTTTTTTGAGTGCCAAAAATAAGAACCCTGTTACCCTTAAAAGACTGACTCAATAATAAACTCTTTATTATAGATATTAAAGGCTCAAAATAACTAGTCATTTTGGAAGTATATAAAATGGGAAGTCTTATAAACAATAGAGAATAAATTATGTATAATTCAGTTTTAGTAAAAGCTGTAAGCTATTTTGATTCATGTTTACAAAATCCAGAAATACATAATAGGAACTAGAATTGTGGCTTGGCAGACAGCGCTACCACTTGCCATGCTGGCATACCATCTGAGCATCAGTTCCAGTCCTGGCTGTTCTACTTTCAATCCACTCCTTACTAAGGTGCCTGGGAGAGCAGAGGATAACAGGCCAACTTCACTCATATGAAAGACCTGGCTGTAGTTCCAGGCTTCTGGCTTTGGCCTTGCCATTGTGATCAACTGGGGAGTGAACCAAGGATTAAAAAAACGTTTCTGTCAATCTGTGTTTGAAGTAAGTAAAATAAATTATCTTTAAAAGCAGTTCCAATAAAAAAAATGCTAAGCACATAATCAAAGCATTTCTATGCCTAAACTTTGCATGAAATAGAACATTTCTAGTCATAAAGGTAGAACTAAGCAAAATTCACTCAATTTTGTAACGAGGTCTGGAAGTTGTGCCATTTCCATGCACCAGTAAAATGGGGGCCCAGATAGACAGCAAAGGGGTTAAAGATAATGGGCCTTGATTGCACCAGCCCTGAGCTCTCTCCAAAGCTATACACACATTATCTAACACTCTTGGGCTTCTGCTGCCTCACCACAACACAGGGATTTTGATATAATCAAACTCACTGGAGTGCTGTGAGGACATAACACTTGCAAAGCACCTGTAACAATGCTTGGCACATGGTACGAGTTAGTACTTATCAAATCACTAGAGCTAGCATTGTGACACAGTAGACAAAGCTGCAGTCTGTGATGCCGGCATCCTATATTGCAGCAATGGTTCAAGTCTTGGCTGTTTTGAACTAGCTTCCTGCTGAAGTCCTGGAAGGCAGAGAGGGATGAACCAACTCTTAGGCCCCGGCCCTCATGTGGGAGACCTGCTTGGAGTTCCAGGCTCCTGGTTTGTAGGTTCAGCCTAGCTCTGGGTGCTGCAGTTATTTGGTGATTGATATAGAAGATGGTCTGGAAACAGTTTAATAACTGTGACTGTTCATGAAGGATATCCAATGTAAAACTAGAAGGGAAAATCAACGGAGGGAGGGGAAGGGAAGGGCATGGGCAATCCCAGAGCCTATGGAATTATATCATAAGACAAAATAAAATATTTTTAAATGTAAAAAAAATAGTAGATGGGAAATCTCTTAAATACACTTTTTTTCAAAAAACAAACAAACAAACAAAAAACGATGAAGGCTCTGGCACAGTAGCACAGTGAGTTAAGTCACTGCTTGTTACACTGGCATTCTTTGAGTGCCCCCTTCAAATCACGGCTGCTCTAGTTTTGATCCAGGTCCTTGCTAATACACCTGGAAAGACAGAGAAAGATGGTTCATTTATGTGGGACTGATGCATGGAGTTCCAGGCTCTTAATTTTGGTCTGGGCCAGGCACTATGGCTGTTTAGGGAGTAAATCAACACATGGAAGTTCTTTCCTTCTTCCTCCCTCATCTCCTGCCCTTGTTTCTCTCTCTCTCTCTGTCTCTCCCTGTCAAATACACAGACAGATAAATCTATAGAAAATGAAAACAGTGACTCACACTCAGGGTCTTATTTACTGTTATCATGGAAGTAAGTACTATGATTCTAATTCCTGATCATACTTATCTGTAGCAATCTTATTACAGATCACAGATTACTGGATACAAAAAATAATCCTAGTGCTACCACAATTAGGACATTAGAGGTGGAAAAGGTCTTGGAGAACTAAGCAACGAACAATGTGTTTTTGTCTAGAAAAGAGATCTTAAACTTCATGTTTAAACAGAATTTGAAAATGAAGCTAAAGTGGGAGGAATCCCAGTACCTATAGAACTATGTCTCATAATACAATGTAATCAATAAAGAAAAAAAAAAGTGAAGCTAAAAACTGGAAGCCAATCCTCCCACTCCCACAGCCATGGGAATATTACACTCAGACATGCTCCCCCGAAGTTCACATACACATACAAGAAAAACCAAGAAGCAAGAAGGTGGGGCTTGTTGACTCATCAATGTGTAACTGACTTTGATGTCCAGAACATTAGAGGTTTGGTGCTTACTATTGCCAGCAAGAAGGGCTGGAGACACAACCACAATATCAAAATGCAAGCAGTAAAATTTCACACAGTGATAAGCTCTCAAAGGAGCCTGACACAAGGGGATGGAGGTGAGGAGGGTAGGGGAAGCACTCAGTTACTTCCCACTGAAGGTTAAAGAGGTGCCAGAGGTAGTGAGAAGGAACACACAGATGCCTCAGGCCTCAAAGAACTCCATGGACAAAGAGCGGGAAAGGGGAGGGGGAGAATGAAGAGCCCTAACACGTAGGGATAGGTCATAAGCTACAGGTCCAGGCAGGCTGTGTTCAGAAGTCAGGGCTCTAATATCATTGCCAGGTGTCTGGTTTATTTTCCAGTGTCACTCAGGGACCGATGGAGCCTCCCATGCTACAGCGAAGGCTTGGTACACTCATATCCTGCCTCTCCATCCCTTCAGGCCACACAGCACTGGACACAGAGAGCAGAGACTGACGTGGATGGGCTGATCCCTTCCAGAGCACCTAAGCCAAGTCTGCAAAGGAGACATCAGCCAGTGCCTTCCCCTGCTCTGTGAGGGAAGAGAAGGCCCAGGTACTCACCCACTTGTAATGTCATCAGTCCGCATGTTCTTACTGAGCACGTCGCCATCGCTCATGTAGCCGGGGGCGTCCATGCTGATGCCTTCCAGGTCCATGTCCTCTCCCGCCTTGTCAGAGACATCCACGTGGCAGATGCTGCTGCCCCTGGACGCCAGCTGCCTTCTCAGAGGGGCAGAGTAAACATAGCGGCCTGACTCAGTGTTGATGAACCGGCTGGCGTTGGCTCGAGGTGGGTACCCATTGCCCATGGAGGGTGCGTCTCCTGCTTGGAGCCGAGGGCTGGACTGGCCGAGTCTCCAGGACAGAGGAGTGGGTCTCCCTGTCAAGCTGAGGATGCTACGGCCACTTATTTCTGTGGTCACGTTGGTATCAAACGTGGTTTCCAATGTGCTAAAAATATAAAATTGGCCTGGGTGAGATCCTCCTTTGCCTGGAATCCTTTGTATCACACATATACACACACACACTTTAATGACAACCTGGCTTTATTTCCCCCTCTTCCCACCTTTGCATGCTATATGTTTGGGGCTTTAGAGTCCTGAAACATTTTTTATATACAAGGCAGGGTAAGATAACAGGGATTGATTTTCTTTGCTAAGAATGAAAAACATAAGCTATATATATGGAGCATTCTGGGACACACAATGGAGACCTTTTTTCTTTAAAAGATGGTACAAGATACTCATTACCAATTACTTTAATTCAGTGGTCTTAGCTGTTGGAAACTGCTTTCCAATCCAGGGATTGCTGAGAGTAGCCTGCATGTTCTAGGACATTGTATTACAGATCCTTTCCTAAGTATAGGACATATCAGCCTCCCTTGGAATCCCCAACACCAACTCCTGACTAAGCAAATACACAATGTTGTGATTCTCTAAAGACCTTTTCCTTCTTCCATATTTTGTTAAAAAGAAATAGCAAAAACATCTGTAAATGCCTGGACTTGGGTTCCCTAATAACTAAAGTCACTTGGACGGAAATCTGCCAGGGGAAGCAGCAGCTTAGCTGGGGCATCAGGAGGATGCACTAGCAGCCGAGCATCAGCACACAGCCCTGAGGCACCTGCAGCAGTCAAGACCATCAACTGTGCCTCCTCAATGGGAGGCAATGGGAATTTCTAACCCACAAGTGATAGTCTTTCCTGCAGAAGAAACACCAGAAGATTTCTGTGCTGTCATGTTTACCATCTGAGCCCAAGCCAAGCCATCCATCAGACTGTGGCACCAAGGTTAAGCCAGTTTTGGTGACTGTGGTGGAAAGAGAAGTGTTTCATTCCTAATCACAGGAAGCTCCCCACTTTACTCTTCTCTGGAAGAGCCAATTTAGGATTCACAGCCGTTTTTACTTTCTGCTGATCTTGGAAGTAGTCTTGCTTTCTGCATAGCGGACACCTCAGTTCTGGGCCCTGGTTCCGCTGAATACAGCACTCCCAGAAGCTAACCCCAATCTGCCACTACTGCTGACGGTGGGGCAACCCTGAGGTCTCCGTGCCTTACTCATTTATCCAAGAAACTGGAATTGGAGAAGCTCAACTTTGACAAATGTTTTCAAAATAATGATCATAAGCTTTTACAAGAAAGTCTTTATGTGTTACATGCACATGCATGTCTAATAATGTTACACAGTGTTGCATATCAGAAGACTGATTAGGAATTCAAGGTATTCAGTTTATTGAACGGGTCAAACACAGTACATTTGCAGTTTCTAAAAAAATGTTTTAAGGTGAGTTCGCTTCCATTTGCTCTTTCACTCGCAAAATGCTTGTAATGATAGGGTCTGAAGCTGAGAACAAGGAACTCAGCCCAGGTCTCCCATGTGAGTGCTAGGAGCCAATCACGTCAGTCATCACCTGCCATCTCCCAGGCTCTACATGATTAGAAAGTAGAATCAGATGCTCAAGTCAGAAGTCCTTCCCAAGCACTCCAGTGTGAGACATCAGTGCCGCAGCCACTAGTCTAAATGTCTGCCCTTAACTACACATTTTGATAACACCACGTATTTGGGATAATGCAAGTAAAGTAAAATTTCGATAGAAATAAATCCTGTTGAATAGATTTAGCCATCTTGTGCTTTGGGAAGAAAACTACATATTCTAAGTTTTATTTTTTCACTTTTCTTCTCCGTGTTACATGGCATTTGTTAAGAATTTCAGGACTTTTATGGCCCAGCGTGCTAGCCCCTAGTGACGAAATCTTTATCTTGCATGTGATGGGATCCTTTATGGGCACCGGTTCTAATCCCGGCTGCTGCACTTCCCATCCAGCTCCTTGCTTGTGGCCTGGGAAAGCAGTAGAGGACAGCCCAAAGCCTTCAGGCTCCATACATATGTGGGAGACCTGGAAGAAGCTCCTGGCTTCTAGCTTCAGATCAGTTCAGATCAGGCCGTTGTGGCCTCTTGGGGAGTGAATCAGTAGATGGAAGATCTTTCTCTCTGTATCTCCTTTTCTTCGTATATATGCCTTTCCAAAAATAAATAAATATTTAACCAAAAAAAATTTCAGGACTTTCAGGGAAAAGGGTTATTTATTTAATCTACTATTAACTGAATCACTTGGTTGGTGGCATAAACACAGAGAAAAACACAGTAAAAATCAAGCAAATGCCCAGCTAGCTTAGTTACGGAATGCTTGCTGCAGGTACCTGTGTGTAACCTGAGTTCCTCGTAAACTGGACATGGTCTCCTCTAAATTCTGCCGCAGGTCAGCTATATTCTTCACTGTCCGCAGCCGCCGGGCCTCGGGGTCTTCCCCTGGAAAGATGGAGGTTAGCCGTCATTTAATTATTTCATAGATCATGAGCTTCTGAGAGTAATAATCATGTCTGTATCTACAACCATGTTCTCTGTTCAGCACCTGGCTCACTATGCATACTGAAAACAGATAGGAGAATCACAGGTTGGGTGAATGACAGAAAGGTGTATAATCCAAGGAGGCTCTTCCCCAGGTCCCTTCTAACGTATGTAAAATTCAGCTCATATGCCTCACCTAAGATGCAAACATATTTTAACCTTGTTTCCAAAAAGGACATGCATGGCTAAGATCCAAGCACTTACCAGGAATCATTTCCTGTCCACACAGCTGTGTGCAGCCTTTTGTGTTCTCGCCTAAGGCTGATACAGGCAGTTGTCTACAGGCTCTAGTGTTTGTAATGGCTAAAATACTCATACTTATTCATTACAGGCATTTCTCCAGAAAGAAGCTTGTCTTCTTGTTAGCTGTATTTCAACTCGTCTACTGTATAACAACTTGTTAGCTGTATTTCAACTCGTCTACTCACTGGCTATGTGACTGCGGAGGAAAGTGCTGGTCTTCTCCATGCCTCCTATTCTACATTCCTAAACCAGAGTAATAGGACTGCTCTTGAAGGATAGTTGTGAGGATGGAATTGGTTAAAGCCTGGAGATCCCTTCTTAGCATGGTGCTCACCACAGGCCACTGGAAACAGGCCAAATGGTTTGGAAGAGCAAGAGGCCATGGACCAGTGGCTTAGCTTCTCTACGGGCCAATTGGGGCCACCATCTTTCTTTTTGGTTAAGGTTTACATATGACACCTGGCAATGTAAAGTAGGAATCTATGACAATATGACAAAAAGAAACATGGCATACATAAGCGGAGCGCACATGGCTCTCAAAGCTGCTCTGCTTTAAGTTCTGTAGTTTTTTTGTTTCATTCAGCCTTCAACAGGCAAGAGAAGAGGAACAGCTATTGGAGCAATTACAGGAATCAAATACCCTCCTACTCCCACCCAGAGCAATTTCAGGGAAAGCTGACAGGTGGGGGAATTATAAGTAAGCATATTTAGAAGTCTGTGACTATTTTCAAGTGCTGAACAACACTTTTAAAGACATTTCCACATAGACAGCAATACACATGGACTTATAGTAAGGGTAATTTATATGAGGCACTAAGGAGAATTCTGAATGACCATTGTTAAAAGTACAACAGGCATCTAAGAAATGTCATGCTATTAAACTTTTTTTTGTGGTACCCAAAACCCTTTCTGGGCTATTTTTGGTTTGGTGGTGTTGAGAGTGTGGGAGGTGGATTAATGATAAGTGATTTTATGGGGTTGAAATTTATTATGGTCAACTCTTGAAGCTGCAACTGTTTTCAATTTTCTTCCCCTTTATAGTGAAGAGAAATTTGAAAGGCGTTTTCCTCTTATCTGAAACTGCTTAAACCTGCATTTGCCACTCAAGTGTTTAAATTACAGACATCTACATAGAAAAGTGTGATGAATGTCTCTCTGACCTTCCCCTAATGGTCCTGGTGGAATCCAATATCATCTATCTCCAGGGCCATCAACCAAACATGTTGCTGTCAACACTTTATCTATGTAAGGTTGCCAAAAAGGTGCCCATCCTTTGGACAGCTATAAGTTCTCTAGTGTGCATTTATTAGAAAATTAGATCTAGACACAGATTTTCAACCGACCTCCATAAATTAACTGAGTCACATGCAAAAAAATGTAGCTACATGAACTTATCCTTATCTCTACTAATAATACAAGTGTTGGTCCTAACTCTTTAGCAATTCAAAGATATCTGAGATGGGGTATTATCTAACTTTTATATTTGGCAACTCCTACACAAATTTACAGGTGCCTAAGAGAAAGTTACTGCCCAACAGATATTTGCTCTAGGCTGGGTGCATGGTCTTTGCATTCCCATAGATAAAGATTTGGGTGTCTATTATTGCTTATAAGCTACTTGACCCTGGACAAACCACTTACACTTTCACAATGTCTTTTGTACAATGAGACTAACATTGCTCCTCAGAAGAGTTTACATGAGACCTGAACAAGTTAGCATAGATGATGTAAATAGGACAAAATTAATGTTAAGTTGCTAACATTTCCTAGTAAATGTCAGTGCTCTGTAGCCCTCTTGGGCATCCTGTGGGTAAAGGACTGGTCCTTCTCAGAGCAAATCCCAAAGATGATGCTGAAACATAAGCAGTAATTCCACCTGCAGTGCTTAGGCAATCACACCCCAAACTGCCACCTGTGAATCCTTGGAGGATGGCCTGAATGATCTTCCCACCAAGTCACAGTCTGAACCAAGCAAAAGCACAGTCGAGCTCCATTGGAAACAGCAGGGCCCTTTCAACTCATGAGAGAATTTAAACATCATGGAAGCTAGTCCATGTCTACTTGCTTATCAAAAAGCTGTCCATCGGGGCCCGGTGGCGTGGCCTAGTGGCTAAAGTCCTCGCCTTGAACGTGCCAGGATCCCATATGGGTGCCAGTTCTAATCCCGGCAGCTCCATTTCCCATCCAGCTCCCTGCTTGTGACCTGGGAAAGCAGTCGAGAACGGCCCAAAGCTTTGGGACCCTGCACCTGTGTGGGAGACCCAGAAAGAAGTTCCTGGCTCCTGGCTTCGGATTGGCATAGCACTGGCCATTGAGCTCACTTGGGGAGTGAATCATCGAACGGAAGATCTTCCTCTCTATCTCTCCTCCTCTCTGTATATCTGACTTTGTAATAAAAATAAATAAATCTTAAAAAAAAAAAGCTGTCCATCAAGATGCTGGCTGTGACCAGGGGAGCACATTTAAACCAAATATGACTGAGTCTGCAGGATGTCAAAGTGTGTTACAAAAGGAACATGGCAGGAACCCAAGGTTTTTAGCTGAAAGAAGGTAAAGGGATGTGCTGCTACATGAAAAAATAAGAAAACTGTGAATGGGCTTTAAAGGCCAAGTTCTTTCAGTGGTTACAAATACAGGAATGAAGAACTCCATTATCTGTGGAAGCCAACAACAACAACACATAAATTTGCCTTACGAAGAAACAACCTTTCTGACACAAGAAATATTCAAGGGGCCACCATATTGGTTCAACAGACTAATTTTCCACTTTCAAGCACCAGCATCCCATATAGGTGCTCGTTTTGTGTCTTGGCTGCTCCACTTCTTTTTTTTTGTAAGATTTAATTATTTTTATTGCAAAGTCAGATATACATAGAAGAAGAGAGACAGAGAAGATCTTCTGTCTGATGATTCACTCTCCAAGTGACCGCAATGGCCAGTGCTATGCCAATCCGAAGCCAGGAATCAGGAATTTCCTCTAGGCCTGCCATGCGGGTGCAGGGTCCCAAGGCTTTGGACCGTCCTCAACTGCTTTCCCAGGCCAGAAGCAGGGAGCTGGATGGAAAGTGGAGCTGCTGGCGCCCATATGGGATCCCGGCATGTTCAAGGTGAGGACTTCAGCTGCTAGGCCACTGTGCCAGGCCCAGCTGCTCCACTTCTGATCCAGCTCTCCTCTTATGGCTTGGGAAAGCAACAGAGGATGGTGTAAAGCCTCAGGATCCTGATTCCATGTGGGCTGCGGGAAGAAGTTTGTAGCTCCTCGCTCCTGGTTTCAGATTAGCTCAGCTCTAGCCACTGTGGCCATTTGGGGAGTGAACCAGCGGATAGAAGATCTTTCTGTCTCTTCTTCTCCCTGTAAATCTGTCTTTGCAATAAAAATAAATAAATCTTAAAAAAAATATTCTAATACAGGCTGAAAAAGATACATGAACACGCTACAGAAGGGCTTCAGGGACTGAATGACAAGCATGTGGGTGTGGTTTCATCTACTGGCGTAATCCAGGATGTATTTCTTAATTGTAATACCATGCACATGACAATCCATCATGGATTTTTACATAAGAATAAAAGTAATCAATTGATCAAACAGATTCATAAATGTGTATTTCCGAAGACACTAGTCAGTCACTGGCATTTGAAGGGACTTTATATATACATTATATATAACTGCATATGTATATATATAATACACACGAATGTATATATACACACGAATGTATATATACACACGAATCTTTCTGTTTGAACACAAAGTCACCCTGGTTTAGGAATGTTCATTAGCAGGGAGCACCATCGAATATTATAAAGTGCAAGGTCAGGCACAACTGACAACACAAGTCTGTTGCCTGAACCAATTAGCAGCATCTCAGGCTTCCTGAGCTCTCACTTGGTTGTACAGCCTGGGGACCCACAAGACGTGAGAAGAAAAAGAAAAACCGGTGGGAGATCACAGACTGCAATCTGTCAAGCATGAAATGCAAGTAATATCTGGAATATTCTCTGACTGGCAGTTTTCATTTTCAAGGGTGGATCGTGCTGCGACTCGGTGTCTGCTGTGAAGACACGCTCCTCCACAGGACACACCTCTCTTCCAGGCCACGCTCTTTGATGTGGGCACAGGAGAACGCGATCAAGACGTGGAGACCCAAGCAGTGGTGTGAACTCTGCACCCTTCTGATCAGCCCTTTTCCTGCGCCGTCCAAGGACTCATCTGCAAGGGAGTTCCACAAGCCCGAAAAGGAGGATGCACACTATCAATTCCAAATGTGTGGCCCTGAACCACTCGTTAAAATGGATCATTAACAACTGGCTTCAGAAATCTGCTCCGTCACTATGTTCAGTCAGGGGAACCAGAAGGAAATCATTAAATCATCCGCACTCTCTGAAATGAATACTCAGAGCAAAGAGCGAGATGGGGAAGCCTCAATGACATGCACTGCAGAGCAATTCCACAGTTGCCCTGTTGCTCTTGAAATGGTGTGGGCATACATCCTCTGTCTAATGAACAGAGCTTCAAGATGGATCTAATTTTTAACCCAACTCTGGATGTGGTAACATAGGAAAAAGGGGACACGGCCTCTGTTAACCATGCGGTTCACCACTCTCTTCCCTGATAAAGGCTGCTGGAGCTCAGGGCAGAGTCTGGGCTGGGGAAAATGGACAGAGAAGACAGCAGGCTGGAACACACAGAGGCAGGAACTCTGACTTGGGTGCAACTTTGTTTCTTGAAAATGCAAACCTGGCAGTAGAAGTATAACATCAACAGGTATTAACACCTATGGAACTAACCAAACGGCAATTGCAAATTTTATATGCACGTTTCCATGTAGTCATCATCTAGGTGATATTTAAGTAATATTTAGATCTTTTTCTCCCTTGGGGTAAAAGAAGCAATGTTACAGTCTTCTTCCCAATCCTAAGAGCATATTTTTCATTAGTGCTTCCTTTCAAAAAGAACTCCAATATCCTAGAATTCCAAGTCTTCATGAAAAGGAACTTGAGGGAAAGAAAAAACAAGGGGATTCAAAATGAACGGCCTGAAATGAATAAAGTTAAAGATGGGATTTACTAACAGGAGAGAGATCTCTTTACAATTGTAGGGAGGATTTGGGAGACCGAGAAAGAGAAAAATGTAAGAATGAAAATAATAAGAAAGGGAGTTGGTATTCAGTCTATCAGTTAAGATGCGCGCCCCGCATCTTACCTGGGAGTGCCTGGGTTTATGTCCAAGCTCTAGCTCCTGATTCCGGCCTGCTGCCAATACCACCAACAGGGGGCAGCAGTGATGGCTCAAGTTGGGTTTGCACCACCCACACGGAAGACTTGGATTGCATTCCTCTCAGCTTGGGGCCCAAGACTGCTGCAGGCATTTGGGCATTCCTCTTTCAGCCTTTATCCCACTCTTTCCCTCTGCCCACCCCGCCTCCCAATCACAGAAATAAATGCATTTTCAAAAGAGTAAGGAAGAAAGTAAGTTTGTGTTATTCCTCAATGTCAAAAGCTGTGATCATGATCATCCCACGGGCAGCAGCAGGGGAGGCCTGATCGCCAGCAGACACGGGATGTTTAGGGCTGACAAGGAATTTCTGGGGCATTGTACTTACCAGTGAGTTCTTCCAGGGCAGGCTGTCCACTCTTGGTGTAGTGGCTGGGCTCTAGACTCACACCCGCTGAGCTGGACTCGGCAGTCACATTCCCTTCAGTGTCTGTCTGGGACCTTGGCACACAAACCAAAGCAAGGTACATTGGTCACAAGGGACAGTGGGCACACTTGGACCACTGTAGTCTGAGCACAGTGCATATCCTCACCTCCTTCAGCCAGAAAGCTTCAGAACAGAGCAGACTAGAAGACAGACACTCAAATAATTCATCAGCCACATGTGGAGTAATGTCCTGAGAATGTAGAGCCATCCAAGTCCAAGGGATGAAACATTCATCAACCACATGGAGGTTCTCAGCTTCTCAGTGGGGAACACGTCTCTGAAAGCCCCACGGAGAGCCAGGTGTAGCCATGCACATGGTAGGATGGCACCGGGTGCCTGGATGATTTAACCTGTGCCAATGAGCACTTGCTGAATAACCAGCAAAGCCAGCAAATCAAGTACAAAGATGACTGCACTGGCGGCCTCCAAGACCGCCCTGCTCTGAACCCTTCTGACGTGGCCTTCTCTGAAAAAGTGACTAGGAAACCAGCCGGGAGTGGGTGCCAAGCAGGTGTGTTTGCCCTCCGGGTCTCTGATTCAGAGCTCAGATCTTCTGACATGAAAGGTCTCATTGATCATTATTTCAACACTTGAGTGAAATTAGACTTCCTCAACCCTTCTCCAGACCTTATTTGTCAAGCAAATTGAGGCAGCAGCTTCGCATAATTTTTTTTTTCCACAGCTACCCTTGCTTACTTAGGGACAGCACGCAAGTACGTAATGACACTCAGACACAAAGCCCTGCCTGCAACGTTAACTCATTAATTGGCATCCTGAGCTCATGCAACTGGATTTCACTAACCTATGAAGACAGGATTTGCCAAAAATGCGGCTGTGAAGAGACACTCATAACTTCAGACCTATCTACCAATGTGTCCTGACTCTGCCCTCCTACTGAGACCATCAGCTCTCAGTGCCTGCAGTCTCTGCCTTCGATTTTCCCAGTCCTAGTGCTACTCTCCACCTCGAGGTCAGGGTTCACACCTCTCAGCTTCTTTGCCTCAGTCTCACACACACTTTGAAACAGGTATCCTACCTCTACACTGGAAGGGCCCGACGGCAGCCACGTACAGGAACCAGGCAGGCTCTTCTTAAGTCCAGTCTGTTCCCTCCCCTCATGTTTGTAACACTGACATGATAACATCACCCTGTGATTAGAGGCCACCAAAGTGGTCTCAAAGTGGTCATCCACAGAAAAAGTGCAAACTAATCACTACGGCAGGTGATACCCTGGATTCCGTATTCTTCTTGCCTTTATTTCTAGACCATTTCCTGCCATACCCACCGTTCCCACACAGCTGCCACATGTCTTACCCACAGGTATCTTCTCTCCATTTCAAGATCACATCTCTGCCACAAGGCCCTTCTCTGCATTCTTTCTCAATTTGCTCTTCATCTGCCTCTTTGCCACACACGTGGCATCTGGATGGGAAGCCTCCCCTGTCTGTCACCTCCACCTTTTGGAGTCTCTACAGAAGCTCTGGATTCTACAGTTGCTCATCTATCACGGGATTTCAACTAGTATTTCTTACCCCAACCAGATTTAGAGCTGGAAAAGGTCATTTCAAATTCACACACCAGGTAGGCAATAAATAAGGGTGTGTGGAATGGTTAAATGAGAAATGTGGCAAAGAACCTGAGATTTGGAGTGTAAAGTTTCCACTTTTGCCCTAGGGTCCATGTCTCAGTAGCTGTGTAAGTTTAAAACATTCTGTCTCTTTGAACTTCAGTGTTATCACTTGTACAATGGCAATGACAACACTAACACTCCAGAAATTAAAAAAAAAATGATACGATTTTGTCGTGATAGTAGACTGTAGAACACAGAGGTGGCTGTTGCTACTTCTGAACTGATCCATACATTTCATTTGGAGTGGTTCTTAAAATTGATCTCTCTCCCCTTTCTCCTTTGGTAATGTGTAGCCCTGACAAATTCCAGTTGGAACATTCAAAGTTCTACATGGGGAGCCATGAACTTGAGAACCTAGGGCAGGAAAAGAGCATGAACAGTTGTGTTTGTTTTGTTTGTTTTAAAGCTGATGGAAAACAACCTCCCTGGTTTATAAAGATAATGAGGATCTGAGAGACAGAACAGAGATTTGAGACCATGTGGTGAGGCCAGCACTATGGCACCGTAGATCGAGTCGTCCCCTGTAACACCACATTCCATATGGGCTCCAGTTCGAGTCCAAGCTGTTCCACTGCCATACCAGCTCCCTGCTCATGGCCTGGGAAAAGCTGCAGAAGACAGCCCAAGTGATTGGGCCCCTGCACTCACACAGAGACTTACAGGAAGCTCCTACCTTCTACTTGGCCTAGCCCTCAACACTGTGGCCCCTTGGGGGAAGTGAGCCAGTAGATGAAAAATCTCTGTCCTCTCTGTTTCTCTATCTCTGTAACTCTGATTTACAAACAAATCTTCAAAAAAAGAAAAAGACAATATGGTGGCCAGGAGAACAGTTCTTGCAGGATTTAAGCTTAAATAGGAGCTCTTGGGGCTGGTGTTGCAGTGTTGTGAGTAAAGCTGCCACCCGAGGTGCCAGCACCACACATGGGCACTGATTCCAGTCCTATCTGTTTCATTTCTCATCCAGCTCCCTGTGAATGTGCTTGAGAAAGCAGCAAAGGATGGATCAACTGCTTGTGACCCTATACCTTCGTAAGAGACCCAAAAGAAGCTCCTGGCTCCTAGCTTTGGAACAGTCCAGGTTTGGCCATTGTGGTGATTTGGAGAGTAAATCAGCAGATGGAAGACCTCTCTCTCTTTGTTTCACCCTTTCTCTGTCTCTGCAATTCTCCCTTTCAAATAAATAAAAATAAATTAAATAACCAAAATCTCTTGTAGCTGTTAGCTCTGTGAGACAGAGAAAGTCAGTGGATCACTTTAAACTTCAGTTTGTACATTCATAGAATGAGAATTTAAAACAGATCTAACTCATGAGGCAATGAAAAGAGTCAGATAAGCTTAGACCTGGAGGGTCTGTACAACACGCAGTACACACTGGACAGCCGTTCCCATGGTCAGTGCCCAACATCACACAGGGTGTTGTGAGCTGCTAAGGGCCCAGGTCCAGGTGTTCCAGCCATTCCCCTAGGCACTTGCCTTCCAGCCTCCCTAACCCAGCTCCCCTACAGAGGGAGCACTCTGAGACAAGACCTCAGCCAGAGCCCCAGAAAATGGGGCATGACACATTCACATCAGGGATGGTTGTCATCTATTTGCTCTTTATCATTTACCATTTTCAGTTTTACTCTCATGGGGAATCTTGAAATGAAAAAAGAAGTATTAATGTTTTATCATCTTTCAAATGATTTGAGTTGAGAGAGAGAGAGAGAGAGAGAGAGAGAGAGGAGAAGGATTGCTGGTGATCAAAGACTGTCCTACATTTTAATTTCGAAACTTCAAATCAAGACTCAGTAAAGGATAGTTTAATACGCATTGCCTCAAGACCATCAATGCTATTGGTATTGTAAAAAGTGTCATGGAGAGCAAAAGTCACAAGTGCAGGTGTACTGCGTTGTTTGGTATGCCGTGACACTCTTGTCATGGTTAGCTGAGCCGGTGACTTGGTTTAATAAGATAGTGACTGGCTCCCAATTAAACATATAGTTGTGACCCTCATTAAAGTGGAGAGGAAAGCAGAAGGAAAGGGGACGTGGTGAGGCCTGGGCTCCTTCACCAGCTGGAGGCTGCCTGGCTTGGCTCTGAAATGTCTCATGCCACTCTCACTAGGCTCAGACAGGAAATGCCACAGAGCCAACCATCAACACAACTCTGGCTGTCAGAGTGGGAATCATACATACACAGGCTAGGAGTCTATGTACTTGAACATGTATGTAAATATATGTGTGCATACATGTACTGCATGTCATATACAAACTCATCTTTGTGTCCACATGTTTCTGTGATTGTCAGTGTGTATCAATGTCTGTGGTTATATGTGTATACAGTTGTACATGAATAGGTACTTAGGGGGAAAGCTGTAAAATGAGTTTACGGATACAGCAATGAATCTTCAGTCCTCTTTGGTGACATACATGCATTAGTTATTCTTTCCCTGGGCAGTATGTAACTCAAATGCATATTTCTAGCAGAGGATTGTGCTGAGTCCTACAAGCTAGAGCTCCGGGGGTTGAGCGAGCGAGGGAGGCCCCATCTGCCTAGAGTGGGCTCATCCACATGTATCACACAGCACTGGCAGCCAGGGTGCCTCATTTAGTGCAGGTGTGTGGTGCAGGTGCAGGCTGAGTAAGTGGAGGCCCTTCCAGGCCAGAGCCATGAGGGCTCCCGAGGTCCCATGGATGTGCTATTACAGAGATGAAGGCAGAGACGACAAGAGCAGAGAAACAAAGGCTGCACTCTCAGGAACTGGTTCCTCCCTTCCCATGCCCATCCCACTTGCCTCTCTGCCCCCGCAGAGGCCTGGGCTAGCAGCAGAGCCCGTGAGGGTCTGGAGGTTCAAGGCAAACACTGCTATGCAACATTTCAGCTATGCAGTAAGGGGGATTTTGTGCTTTCCTTCAAGTACATTGAGGATATGCTTTGGCAGATGTGACCCACAGACCTTGCATATTCAAGCTTTCATACTGCTGCTCACAGAGAGCTTCAAAAATGGCCATGGGGTTGTACTTGCCAGGAGAGCTCTTGTCTTCCCTGGATTAGACCATAACCCACTCCTCCATCCTTGGTGTATGCTCACCCTCCCCTGCCATGTTCATCCTGAGCACACTGCATTTGCCTTCCAGCCCAGCACCCAGTGCCTTGCCTGTGTGCTGATACAGTCGTGCAGGGCTCAAAGACCCTGGATCCAGCAGCTGGGTGGCTGCTCCTACCTGTACAGGAAAGGCGCGACCGTGGCAGTGTTGGGGTGGTTGTATTGCTGCTGGGGCTGAGGTAGCTGGACACTGACGGTATTGCTTCCCGTGGTCTGGGTGGTCCCGACAGACCCACTGATGGTCTGGCTGCTGATGCTGTGGTTCAGCGGGGTCCCCCCCGGGCCCTTGCCCTCTGAGGATGCGAGGCTGGAGGAGGAGCTAGAGTGTCTGCCGTCCAACTGAGGCTTCTGTGGGGGGAGCCCTGAGCTTGGCTTCCCGCTCCGGCTGCGCTCCCCTTCCTTGGATGGTGTGGTGGCACCTGGGGACTTGCCGGGCATGCTCTTCATCCCTGGTTTTGGTATCCCACTGTGGGAAGGGGCTGATGCCTCCTTCTTGGCACTGCTGAGCTTCCCTCCCTTGGGGATGAAGCTGGCAATCTTGGAGGACTTTTTTGGCATCTCGGTCATGGCCATTCCGCCGGGTTCTTCCCTGGGCTCTTCCTTGGCATCTGGCCTCTCGGTCACAGAGGCCCTCTTGGTGAGGTCCCTGCCTTTTTCCTTTTCCTTCTCCCTCTGTTGCTTCTCCTTTTCTTTCTCATTGGCTTTTGGGGAGCTCCTCTTGTTGGTCAGTGCCCGGCTGAAAGTCCTCTGGGCAATGCCCTTGAGAGCAATCTTGGGGCTGCTGGACGCAGGGCTCGCTGCAGAGAGCCCACGGCCAGCAGCCTCTAGCTCTCCACTCTCTTCAAAGCTGGGCAGGATTTCTAGCCGCTCACAGCTCGTGTCCCGGGATCCTGGGCCTTCCCCTGCCTTGGAAGTCCCTTTACTGTTAAAAAGCTTGAGCTTTTCCAGCATAGATTTCTGATTGTTGGGAGCCGGCTTCATGGCTTCGGGTGCAGGCCTGGGGACCTCTGGCCCAGACGGCTTAACAGAGAGCATGGATGAAGTGGCACTGTGCTTCACACTGAGAGACTTGCTGCGCCACGGCTTGGAGGCCACACTGGGCTGGGGGATGGCGGAGGAGGTGCAGTTAGTGGGGGTGGAGCTGCTGGTGCTCTCCAAGGAAATGGGTGCATTTTCGCTCATCCCGGACTGGGAGGAGGTTGAACTTGCCAACAGCTCTGTAGAGAGAGAAGAAAAGGAGATCTGAATTCCTTCTGCTGACTTGCAATGAAGAGTGGAGGCTAGACCACAGACACTTAGCCCATCACTCCCAACCCAGATGCCCTTATATCGGCCTTGTGGCTTATCCATGATCAAATTACATGACCAACTCAGCTTCTTCCTTTTATCACACACCATTCAAATTTCTCCTACCCACATTTTCATGTTACGTGCTGTGCAAATGCATGCCCACTTAAAAGCATAAAAAGCAAGAAAATTCACAGAAAAACAAACTAACAATATCTTGTGCTGAGACTCTATAGTCATATGGCAGTGAAAGAAACCCACAGGAATTATCTAGTATGCTCCAAATCACTCAATCCACAGCCCACAGTTACATGAAAGAGTCAAGAATCATCCATCAGGACCCAGCTTCACGGCACAATGGGTGCCACATGTGATACTGGAATTCCATATGAGCACAGACTTGAGTCCCATGTGCTCCACTTCCTGCCTAGCTCCATGCGAATGTGCCTGGGAAAACAACCAAGCATGGCTTGAGCACTTAGGCCTTGTTGGCCATAGGAGACCTAGCTCCTGGATAAGAACTTCTGGCTCCTAGCTTGAACCAAGTCATTATAGCCATCTTGGGAGTGAACCAACGGATAGAAGATCTCTTTGTCTCTCCGTCCCTCTCTGTCACTTTGCATTTCAAACATGTAAGTAAATCTTAAAAAAAATTATGCAAATTTTAAAGAACATTGTAGCAGAAGCATTAAAATGAAATGGAATCTTCCTCCCCCTCAAAAAGAAAAAAAAAAAAAAAACAGAAAAAGAGGAGTAGCCAAGTACAAGCTCTATAGAATGTTCTAGAAACGCCACAAAGTCATAGCGAACAATGAGTATTTTCAAAAGGTACCAACTTGATTTAGGAAGGACTCTGGGAAAAAATTCTTTTTTTCTTATTCCGCCTGAGAACACAGGCTATGCACACAGCTTCCCACAGGCAAGAAAACGTACAGGTTATCAGAAAGCTGAGGCTTCCCCCTGCCGTTGGCCAAGTATTTTCCTGACCAGACTTCTCAGAAAAGCCTTAAGCTATTTCTTAATCAGAGCCAAAAATTATTCTGAGCAGGGTGGGCTCAGGTTCTGCTGGCACTGGGGTGGCCTGGTATCACAGAAAGAAGATGACTGTAGCCTCTTCTTCCAGCAGCCCTGGGTTGAGGCAGAGCTGTCGCCCCACACAGCTGCTGGCCGGAGACAGTGTCAGGGGAAGGGTGACATGGCTGAGCACCCCGCCTGCACCCACCCACACCCCATACCTCATGGGTAGAGCAGATCCATTGCACCCCCTGTGCTCCAGCAGCACATCTTTGCCGGCAAAGCCACAGTGCCATCACTTACCTAGCGGCAGCCACTTTCTCTCGCAATGATTCCCCGGGAACAATCCTCCAGCCGGAGAGGCTGCCCTTCCAATTGTCACAAGTGTTTTCGGTTAAACTGCTCATGTTTCTAATTAACTTTTGTCATCCACAAACTACTCCAGTGCCCAGAAGCCTGGCGGGATTAACGGCTGCTGCTTCTCCTTTTTTCCCCTCCTTTCCTTTAATACCTATGTTCCGCTGCCTTCCAGCAACAGAGTAAACTGTATATAGAGCGGCTTTTTATGATTTAAAAGTCAACGGCCGCTGAGGCCAAGCGAAGGCGGCCCCTGTGTGGGGCGTGAGCCCTGAGCTGTGAGCCTGGCGAGAGGAGCTGCCTCCCCGTTCGGGGCTGCTCGGGAAGCCTCAGCTCCAGGGTGATCCAAAGCAGACCTCCCAATGTTTTAAAACTCATACATCTTCCTGCCTTCCTGGGGATTGGGGTTTGGAGGGGAGGGTGCTAGACAATCCTCCCTAACAAAACGCACAGGGAGCTGCTGGATCGTTTCCTGGGGAGAGGCAAAAACCAACTTGCAGACAGTCTCAAGGAAGCCACGCACACTGCTGGGCATCAGAGGGGCTCCAAGGCTTGACACTGCCCACCCAAGAGCCAACAGGTGCCTCACAGGGAGGAAGCTGAGACTTGGGAAGACCTAATGAGGGACCTGCAGCACGAGGCTAGATGTGGACCCACATGGGATTTGAACCCCAGCTTTCTGATAGAGATATCTCTGGAACCATGTCACACCTAGAGAGTTGATATGAACAGCAGTCACTGCAATCAGAAAACTTCTCAGGCAATGACTTTGTAAAAAACACTGACTTGGGCCCGGCGCGGTGGCGCAAGTGGTTAAGGTCCTCACCTTGCACGCCCGGGATCCCATATGGGCGCCGGTTCTAATCCCAGCGGCCCCGCTTCCCATCCAGCTTCCTGCTTGTGGCCTGGGAAAGCAGTCGAGGATGGCCCAAAGCTTTGGGACCCTGCACCCGGGAGACCCGGAAGAGGCTCCTGGCTTCGGACTGGCATAGCATTGACCATTGCGCTCACTTGGGGAGTGAATCATCAGAGATGGAAGATCTTCCTCTCTGTCTCTCCTCTCTGTATATCTGACTTTCCAATAAAAATAATAATAAAATAAATCTTAAAAAAAACACTCACTGACTTGATTTGACAGGAATATAGGGAAGAAGAGAGGGAGCAAGGGAGGGAGGGAAGGAGAGGAAGGGAGAGAGGTGGGGAGGAAGGGAGAGGGAGAAAGAGAGTGAGAGAAAGGAGAGAGAGAAGGATAGGGAGGGAGAGATCAGATGGCTTACTCCCTAAACAACTGCAACAGCCAGGCTGGACCAGGCTGAAGCCAAGAGCCTAAAACTCCATCCAGGTCTCTCAGATTGCTGACAAGGGCTGAAGCACTTGGACTACCTCTGTTGCTCTCCCTGGGAACATTAACAGGGAGCTGGATTGGAAGCGAGGCAGCCAGGTCTGAAAATGGTGCTCCAAAATGAGATGCCAGGTAATAAGTAGCAGCTTAACATGCTGTACCACAATAAAAACCCCATCACAAGCATTACCTGTACGGTAATCACAGCTAGCCCTGCCAACAGGAAGGTAGCAGCTTCCATCACAAAGGGTGTCTCTCTAGCTGAAATACCAGTGATTGGGCACCACCTCTTAGAATAACTACCTTTCCCATTACCTAGTCATCCATTCACATACACATTCATCCAGCACCTAATATGGCAGTCACTGTTCTAGGTCCTTGGGTATACATCAGGGAGAAAAACAGATGTAGCTCTACTTCTCCTGCAAGTTGACATTCTCGCAAGGAGGAACCCAATAGAGTCAATTTCATAAATAAAGTATTTTGGAAAATAAATCCAAAGGAAAAGCCAAGGGGACCCAGGAGAATGCTGCATGTTGTCCTTGTAGGAGATATAGAATTCCACTTAAAGGAACACCTCCTTTTTCCTGGCGAGTCTGAGCATCGTCCCCAGGGCATGCGAATCAGCATGTTCATGCTCTGAACTCCTATGAGGCTTTCAGAAACAGTCTTGGCAAGAAATGCCCCTACTTACCACTTCTATACATTTATAACACTCCTAACCACAGCTAGACATTAAATAGCAGCCAGTTGACTAATAATTGATTCAGAAAGAGACACCTGGTTTATCTAAGCGAAAGAGCCAGAGTTACTGAAAAGTCTGACTTCTTCAAGAAAAGCTGGCAAGTGCAGAAGAAAGGCCTGCTCAAATGTCAGTATGCCAGCTTTTCATGGTCACTTCCAAGACTCCTGCCTTTCAAATGTCTTCTCCTCTACTGCCATGTATTGCACCACATGGCATGCTTCCCCGCACTGTGCTGCTCTTGGATTCTGTACATATCTTTACCTTTAAGGCCTCTGGGAGGGCCACCTACTTTACAGCACACTCTATAATCAAAGAGGTGAATAAATCCAGCTCCTCCCCTTCAGCAACTCACTGCTCAGGGAGTGCAGCCCAGTTTCAAACAACCCCCCAAATGATGGAAAGTGCTCTATATGGCCATAACAGGTATTATGAGAACAAGAGATGCATGCAACTAATTCACCCTGGAGAGTTTGGGAAGACTTCCTGTAGGAGGCAATCCCTGGGTTATCAAATGGTACTTTCTTGATGGCTTGTTTGTTATTCCACTGGGTCAGGCAGATGCTCCCCTCCCTGATATATCTGTGTGTTCCCAACCCTGCTGCAACACAGACATATTCAGTTTATGTTTTCTAAATGTTTGGTTGACATTTTGACATTTCAAGTCACACATATCGGAATAAGATTTGTGGTAAGTCATTAGGTTTTATGACAGCTTCTCAGGAGCTTCAGAATTCCCACCTGGCATTGAGTCTGGGCTTCTTTCCTTACAGAACCACAATGACATCTGAAGACAGCTTACTGTGTTTGTGACAGGCAACACCCGGAAACAGCTCTGAGTTTAGTCTCTAGAGAAAAAGTCTTTGGAGAAGGGCTAGAAGGCCTGAGGGCTTCTGAGGATCAGGTCACCAATACTTTGTGCTTATATCACAGCCTTACTGAGAGGTTTCAGGTTGCAAGTGGTCCTGTTTGGGGGAACCTGACACATTTCCATTGCTCCTAGGTGATCAAGTCAGTGACCTGCGATCTTGTTGGGTGGCTACTTGGGACTTGTTCTTTATTTGGTACCAAGCCTCTCCTAATGCTAGAATCCTGTGAATTCTAATGTAAGATACTGAGATACTGAGATACACGCAGCAGAGGGTTTAGAGTAGACCAGGGCTAAAGCTCCGTTACCAACAGAGGTATAAAGCTTCCCATCTGTTGTTTTGCCTCTTTGGCCCGGTCATCCCATCTGTATGGAAGAGGATGAACTATTCCTCTGGAGTTCTTTCTGCTGTTTTTGTGCAGACCTCAGCAAGGCTCTGCGAAGCCTGGGAGGCTGGGTCATGGCCAAGATGTCCCTACAAGCACAGCCCTCATTAGTCCTATCACTCTGTGCTGTAATACATGGGGTATTTCCCTCCCTTCAACTCTTCCCCTGCGCAGCTCTCATAGATAAGACTGGCAGACAGATGGAGAAAACTGGCTTGGTC